AAAACTGTGAAGAATTAGCGAAACTTTCGGCCCACTTTATATAAAGCTCTTTTGCCTTAAAAAGAAAAAAAGTTTACAAGAGAACCGAAATTTTGCGGTAGACATTGACGTGATGTCGTCATTCATTGTTCTACTCTTTTTATGGCAGTACTGATAGGTAGGATTGTTTTGCTTGAAGTGTGAAGGTGCTCTGTTTTGCTAATTTAAGAAAGATATTGGCTTTGGCTAAGTAGCAAGACTCTTACTAGAGTTTTTGAAATCTTTACAGAACAGGCTAAGCTCCAATACATATTTCCCAAAAATCTTGAGTACCTACAATGATCAACATTTAAAGCTAAGATTATTGTAGGTATTCACGTTTTGGAAGATAAGCATTAGAACTTAGCTTGTTTTTCTAAAGATTGCGCAAATTTTGAAAAGATTCATAGGAATTATTCCTACTTCTTTAATTGCCTCAACTTCAACGGCCTGTAAGTGTTCATCTATTGCAGTGAAAGGCAATATATGGCAAGGTAAAAACATCATAGCGTGTTCCAGCATAGAGGTTATCTGCACTATTGCATTTTTTTCAAAATGTTATGAAACTAAAAAAATTACTGAGCATATAAATGCATAATCGTCTCAAATCTTCCTCGCTCCTCTTTTCGCTAAAGACACAACTTAACCCTTATCTCGATTGATTGGTTGAGCGCCTAATAAGAATAAGATAAAATAAATTCTCATTAGGCCTTTTGAGAAGGATACCATTTCGTCTGCTAAACTGTGTTGTCTTAGTTTATTAGACCATCACATGAGGGGTGTTGTTGAGGGAGTAGTGTTGTCAGGCATATCAGATGACATGGATTTGCCAAAGCCAGTTAGTCTCGGGGGACTAACCAGAAACTTTTTTTGAAGGATGCTCTTTGTCATAAATGAATTATGCAAAAAAAAAACTTGCGAAATTTTACGATGAATAATTCAATCCTCAATCATTCTTTGTAACCGCAGCCAGCCTTCTATGCACATACATCACTCCCATATATACTTTGCAAAAAAATCAGCGCGCTTGCTTTCTAATGTGCAAGTCTTTTTTGATATCGACGTCTCGTTCTGTCTCTATACATCCTCTTTTTCGCTACTTTTACACAAACTGAAAAGTGGTGAAAATCTTTCGTTGAGATCCCCGCTCTGCAAACTTCTTGTTAGTCTCAATATTAAAGCACTACAGTATTTTAGAACCATAGTACTATGACTGATAGTTTTTAAAAAAGTCTTTTGAAATTGTGCACCTAAGATAACATACGAGGGAGCAGTTATCATATTCTGCAGATTGAGTAATTTGCAAAAATCTCCACACTGCTCCGTAGATCTTCATTTGTGGTTTGTGGGGCATTACCGAACAAGGTTTGAGAAAACGAAATTTAACTATGAAATATCAGAGGCTTAACAGTTCAAAAACTAGCGTGTAGTTGGTATTTTCTTAAGCCTGGACTAACTACCAATTTTCGATTTGTGGAGGACTTACTCACAGCAAGTCATTTCAGTGCCAGAATGGGCGTTTGTCTTCTTGGGAATTGTGGCCATCATCGTCGTTTTACTTATCGCATATCTAATCATTCGAAAATTGTTCGGCAAAAAACGACATGGCGATAAGAACAAAAGCAAAGGTTTCAAGGGACTTTTCAGTAAAGGAGGAGATCTCATGGCTGGAAAAGATGTATTGGGAGGAGTGAGTGATTACGTCTAAACTCTAACTTTTTTGAAAATAAGACTAAAGGGAGATTTTTCAGATCCAACAAGATATGGAAGAACTCGAAGAAAACATGGAACAAAACGAAAAAGCCCAGGCGGAAGAAAAAGAAGAAGTAAAATTGGGCAGGATACAGTACAAACTCGATTACGATTTTCAACAAGGACAAGTACGCATTCAGCAAAATTCCTACTTTTCCATTGCCTGGAAAAACTTCAGCAAACTAGCTCTCCCTTTAAAATTCCATATTTCAGCTGTCAGTGACTGTGATTCAAGCAGAAGATTTGCCTGGAATGGATATGAGTGGAACTTCCGATCCGTATGTCAAGTTGTACCTTTTACCGGAAAAGAAGAAGAAGGTCGAAACAAAGGTTCACAGGAAAACTTTGA